CGGCTGTGGGATTTGAACCGGCAACCTTCCAGCCACAGGCGCAGTGTTTTTCAACTGTTGAAAGCGTGACCCTGTTTTGCTGTAAATCTGTGCAGGGTCTGCAGGTCAGCAAGAAGATGGCGAATTGCCTCTTAATTCTCCAAACCGAGCTTCACTCTTTCATGGAGGTTTTGCTCAAATCGATCGTGTATGAAGTGTCAGAAATTTTCCGAAACAAGATGTCTGACTCTGAGGACGATTTTCAAGACAAACTGCGCAGCATCTCCCGGATTCTGGTGAGACGGACCGTGTTTAAAATCATCCAGTGTGTGGAAGACAGTGTCGGAAGTGAAATGGCGCAACTGAAGAAAGAAAACGAGAGCCTGAAGTGGAGATTGCAGTTGTGGGAGAAGGATTCGGGAACAGGAGGAGATCAGGCGCAGACAGATCATGTTGGACACACGCTTCCCTGTGAAGTCACTGCAGAAATAAAAGAAGAAATGGACACGAAACTGGAGCTGTCAGGTCAGTGTAGTGAGTTGTATGAAGTCAGTGTGTTTAAAAACAGTGTCTTTAACTTCCTAACTGGTGAGAATATTGTGCAGAGTGTATTGGGAAAGGTTTGCGTGAAATAGCAACGGGATTTTTTACTGGAAACTGAACTCCCGTTTGTCCGGTTATGGTGCTGAAAACATCTGTAATACAGTTAGGGGGGTTCGTTCACACTGACTCATATTTTAGTTTTTAATTAGTATTTTATTTTAAATTAGTACTAATTTAATTGAATTAGTACAATGTTTAGACCCTCTCTAAAGAAACGCGATCGCTCCGCCAAACGTTTTTCCAGCGCTTTACGATTTACAAAAGCGAAGAAAAATCTGGAAATATTTTTCCTGGCTGTAAGCCATGAATTGTTAAACAAGATTTAAAAGGTCGAGCGTCCACAGATATTTGCAGGCTGCGTTATATTTCACAAATTTTACATATTTTGTCTTTAACTGCTATAGTAGGTTACATGGTGTAATTATCATAAATATATAGGGTTATCAATTTATTTATTTTTTCTTGGCATAACCACGTAAACGTAACCGTGAACTTGTGAATGAGGTATTAGTTTTAACGTAACTAGTATTAGTGAGGTATTAGTTTTAACGTAATTTTGGCATATTGAAAATTGTAATTTCTGAATATGAGCTTTTAACTAGTCCTTCTCTATAACACAACAGCAGCTGAGCTTAAAATCTTCTCGATTTTTCGCTTCTCGATCAAACAGACGCTGGCCCATTTTTAGCAGTGTTAAGCAACTTTAAGCAACGGAAATTGGCTTCCCGTTCATCTTACTTTTCAAAATAAAGGCTCCGTTAAAACAGTTACCAAAAAAAAGGAAAACGTAAAGTTACATTTCTAACAACACAAAAAGTTGAGCATCCTCAAAACTGGGTTTAATGTGATATAAAGTACACAGTGAATATAAAAGTACTGTTCTTCAGTAATGTTTGCATCCATGCAAGTGTTATTGCTGTTTTTAGATTTCCAGTGCAGTGCTAGACAGGGAAAAGCCTAATTCTTGACTAAATAAAAACTTGTACTTCTCCAAAAATGTCTGAAATCAATTATATAGACACATAACTAATAGCAAACCACAATGGTTTAATCAGATTAGTGTCTTTGCAAGTGTTGCTGCTGTTTATAGACCACTTCCTTTTTTCAGGATCTGACCAGTTGACCTGCTGGTCAGGAAGGAGACTTGCGCCTGTCTAGCACTGCACTGCACTCTGCCAGTCTGAACTCTGCACTGTTCCAGTCCCTTTATCCAGTACAGGGTCATGAGAGAGCTGGAGCCTATCTCAGCAGGCAACTGGTACAAGGCAGGATACACCCTGGATGGGACATCAGTCCATTGCAGAGCAGCCACAGACTCACACCCACAGCCTAAAATCACTGTAATAATATTATTAACAACATTCATCGTTATGAGTGTCATGGTGGCACAGGGCTCAACATCGCTGCTTCAAGAGTTGGAGCCCTGGGTTTAATCCCAGGCCTGGGGTGCTCTCTAATTTTTGCATGTTCTCTCCGTGTTCACGTAGGTTTCCTCCAGGTAAGTGTGTCTGTGCGCCTAGTGATAGACTGGCTTCCCATCCAGGGTGTACCCTGTCATACGACTGTTGCTTGCAGAATTAAGTGAATATCGGGGTGTCTCCAATGCTGTGTACTGGTCTGTCTGGGAGCTATGAAAACATTGTCTGTCCAGTGTTGTCTGTCCTTATTGATGAGTTGACTACAAACACTGAAGTTTCCAGTGTTCTCTTTCTGACCTCTTTGGATTAAGCACACAGCAAAATGTATATTAGCCTTCTAGAGAGACAGTCATCTCAGTTAAATTCACTGTATTTGCCGTGAATCAGATTCAGATCATTTGTGAGTTTTGATCTTTGTTTTTGTTTGGGTCTTGAGTTAATATGATGCAGTTTTCACATTTGAACTTGGACATGGTTATTTAAGCACTTTGCTGGTCATTGATGATAATTGCTGCTGTCAGTAGAGGTATGTGATTCCAACAGTGCTTTATGTACAATGGGTATAGAAAGTCACTACCCCCTTTCAAAATGTTCACCTTTTGTTGCCAAAAAGAAGACAAATAAAATCAGACTTATTTACAATTTGTACCTTACAACATCCAAGTGGAAATAGAAAGCAAAATTTCTGAAAATAAAAAGTACAATAACTGGGTTGGATAAGAGAACACCCCCTGAGTTAATTCTTGATGGATGCACCTTTTTGCTTCACTTTCAGCCTTGAGTCTGCTTGGATACATCTCTACCAACTTTGCACAAGTAGAGGGAGGAATATTTGCCCATTCCTCCCTGCTGAATCGTTCAGGCGCAGTCAAACTGTGTGGTGACCGTTGATGGACTGTCTTCGAGTTATTCTAAATAATAATATAATAATAATAAACTTTATTTTATATAGTGCCTTTAAAGGTGGCTTCTCAAAGCGCTTTACAGGATGACAATAATAAATAAAAAGAATACACAAGATAAAATACAATTACAATATACAGAGGAGACATGGATGGTTGTACTAAGAAAAGCAGAGGGGTGAAGAATGGAACCAGTTAAGTAAAGGCTTTTCTAAAGAAAAGGGTTTTGAGTCAGGATTTGAAGGAGTTTAGAGAAGGTGACTCTCTGATATCCTTGGGGAGAGAGTTCCAGAGCTTGGGGGCATAACAGGAGAAGGCCAGGTCACCCATACAATGTAGAAAGGCTTGGGGGACAGTAAGGAGAGCAGAATTAGAAGAGCGAAGGTTGCAAGCTGGGGAATAGGGCGATAATAGTTCAGACAGGTACTGAGGTGCCAATCCATGCAGAGTCTTATAGGTGAGCATGAGGATTTTAAAGTCTACATGGAATTTAACTGGAAGCCAGTGCAAGGACTCCAGGATAGGAGTAATGTGAACACTTGCACTAGACCTGGTCAGGATTCTGGCTGCTGAATTTAGGACATACTGCAGTTTGTTCAGAGTAGATTTAGATACCCCAGCGAGTAGAGCATTACAGTAGTTAATTCAAGAGAATACAAATGTGTTGATCAGCTTTTCAGCCACAGTTAATGATAGCATAGAGCATAGTCTAGCGATATTTCTAAAGTGAAAAAAAAGATGTTTTGACAGTATGGTGAACATGTGGGTCGAATGTGGGGGTGATTGCAGGGTGATTGGCCATATCACCCTGCAACTCACAACTGGCAACCCACTGAAGCTACAGGTGTGAGCCTGGTCAGTACCTGGATGGGAGACCTCTTGGGAAAAACTAAGGTTACTACTGGAAGAGGTGTTAAGTGGAGCCAGCAGGGGGCGCTCACCCTGTGGTCCATGTGGGTCCTAATGCCCAGTATAGTGACGGGGACACTATACTGTAAACAGGCGCCGTCCTTCGGATGAGACGTAAAACTGAGGTCTGTGCTCATTAAAAATCCCAGGTCCCATTAAAAATCGCAAAGAGTAGGGGTGTAACCTCGGTGTCCTGGCCAAATTTCCCATTGGCCCTTACCAATCATGGCCTCCCTCTATGAATTGGCTACATTATTTGCTCTCCTCCCACTGATAGCTGATGTGTGGTGAGTTTTCTTGTACACTATGGCTGCCGTTGCATCATCCAGGTGGATGCTGCACATTGATGGTGGTGGAGGGTCCCCATTACCTGTAAAGTGCTTTGAGAGGAGTGTCCAGAAAAGTGCTATATAAGTGTTAGCTATTAATGTTGAGCCAGAATCGAATATAACCCCAAGGTTTTTCAATTTTGATTGAAGCTCAAGTACAGAGCCATCTACAGATAGGGTTACAGGACTGGCTTTACGAAGTTGATGGGGGGTGCCAATAAGCATGACTTCAGTCTTGTCGCAGTTAAGATTAAGGAAGTTTTGAGTTATCCAAATTATTATGTCAGAGATGCAATTAGATAGAATAGAGACAGCCACATCAGTGTCAGGGTTGGTATGGATGTATATTTGAGTATCGTTAGCGTAAAAATTAAAGCTGAGGCCATGTGATCCTAAAAGCTGGCCAAGTGGGAACATGTAAATGCTGAAGAGCAAGGGACCCACTTTTGAGCCCTGAGGAACACAAGATTTAACAAGACCAATTTCAGACCTGTACCCATTAAGAGAGACAAAGTGACAGTGATCAGTGAGGTAAGATTTGAACCATTTGAGAGCAGTGTCAGAAACTCCAAACACAGTCTCAAGACGAGAAAGTAAGATGTTATGGTCAACAGTGTCAAAACCAGCACTGAGATCAAGAAGGATGAGTACAGAAAGAAAACCAGAATCAGAAGCTATTAGAAGATCGTTGGTGACTTTGACCAGGGCAGTTTCTGTGCTGTGAAGTTGACGGAAGCCAGATTGGATGGGTTCGAAAAGGTTGTTTGTCATGAGGTGGTTATGTAACTGAAGTGTGACAGCACGTTCTAGAATTTTAGTAAGAAAGGGTAAGTTGGAGATGGGGCAAAAATTGTTAAGATTGTCGAGAGCCATGTTTGGCTTTTTTGGTACGGGGGTAATGGCAGCAGTTTTGAGGACTGTTGGTAAAATGCCAGTGCTCATGGATTCATGTATAATATTGAGGACAATGGGACAGAGAGAAGAGAAACAAGACTGAAATAAAGAGGTGGAAATGGGATCTAAAATAGATGTGGTGGGTTTCATGCGTGTAACTAGTTTATTGAGGGATGCTGAGTCAAGAAGGGAGAAGCTGGAGAGAAGGGAAACAGAGAAGTTAGATGAGGAGGGAGGAGGTATGGAAATAATATGCGTAGTGGAGATAATGTGATGCCGAATTTGTCAATCTTAGAACTAAAGAAATCTAAGAATGTGTTGCGAAGTTGTAATGAGGCAGGTAATGTGGTGGGGCAGTTTGGCTTGAGCAGTCTGTTGATGGTGGAGAAAAGATGTCTGGGGTTGTTTTGGTGATTTTGATGTGAGAGAAGTAGGTGGATCTAGCAGACTCTATAGTAATCTTGTATTCAGATAAGTAATCTTTCCAAGCCTGATAATGTACATTTAGGCCAGAAAGACGCCACCTACGCTCAAGTTTGCGAGAGGCTACTTTCATGGATCGCAGCTGGTCATTGTACCAGGGGGCAGGGTGAGAGAAAGAGATGGTTCGAATTTTTAAAGGAGCAAAGGTATCAAGGGTAGATAAAAGAGCACTGTCAAGTAACTGGATTTTGTCCTCTAGAGGTTCAGAGGAAGAGAAACAAGATAAGGAAGACAGAACAGAATTTGCAAACCTTAGGTGATCAATTGATCGCCAGTTGTGGAAGTTTACAGAGCACGGGGGGGAGGTGTTAGAAACAGGTAATTCCAGATTGAAGAGAATGGCTAAGTGGTCAGAGAGGACTAGAACAAGGGGAGAGCAGTGGGAGACAAAGGAGTCATTTGCAATAATTAAATCTAAGGTGTGTCCTTTGTTATTTGTAGGGGTACAGACAAACTGAGTAAGATCAAAGCATCCCAATAGAGAAAGGAAGTCTTTAGCCAGACTGGAAGACCTTGAATCGATGTGTATATTAAAGTCCCCTAGAATTTCGATGATTTTCGATGGAATTTAGGCAGGGGCTCTGACAAGGCCACTCAAGGACATTCACCTTCCTGTCCTTCAGCCACTGTACGGTTGCTTTTGTGGTGTGCTTTGGGTCATCATCATGTTGAAAGGTGAACCATCTTCCCATTTTCAACTTCCTGGCTGAAGGCTCCAGGTTTTCTTCAAGAATCTGCCTGTAATTTGCACAATCCATCTTCCCTTCTATCCTGACAAGTGCCCCAGTCCCAGCTGAACAGAAACACCCCCATAACAGGATGCTGCCACCACCGTGCTTTACTGTAGGAATGGTGATCTTTGGATGGTGAGATGTATTGTGGTTTTTTTTTCAGACATACCATTTTGCATTGTGGCCAGAGCGTTCAATTTTGGTCTCATTTGGCCACAGAATCTTTAAGGTGCTTTTTAGCAAAACATAAATGAGACTTGATGTGACATTTTTAAGGAGTGGCTTTTTTCTTGCCTTCTTTCTATACAGGCCAGATTTGTGGAGCTTTTGTGATATTGTTGTCACATGTACACCAATGACCAGTCTTTGATATAAATGTCTTTAACTCCTCCCTGTCACAGTCCATGGTCCCCACCTGCTTTAAAAAAAA